AAAAAAAACAGTTTTCACAGTAACAGGGGAGAATAACATGTGCATTGATGCTGTTATTATTTCAGAACTGATGGAAAAGCTGGTATATGAAATGCTTAGTTTGTTTTGAACACAGGCAGTTTTTAAAAAGTCATTTTGCGAACCTTCCCTTACTTTGTCAAGTAAAGAGTGTAAATGGCCGTTGTTAGTAGACAGAAAAAGGAGAAAGATCGCAACTGTTGGAATAGGGACAGCAAATCAATGTTGGTCTGAGCAGAAAAAAAAAGAGCAACATTTTCAAACCTTTGGTGGTTCCTCACTTCCAACTGCACTGGCTATGGACAATTTTATTGATAATCTATACTTCACAGTATCAGGTGGGCCGGACACGATATCACCTGACAGTATTGGTGTACTCCAACCGTCTTCGGGGTTGGTCAGAACGTTGGAGGAAAACTTGAATACTGTACACGGGTTAGTCCTGTATACAGATTCTTTGGATGGTTAACACGTAGCAAGTAAACTAGTCAACAACAAAAAAGACAAAATCAAACGTTAAAATTCTAATGAAATGACAAGACTGGGAGCTCTCGTCCTACGGACCAAATCTGTAGGGGAACCAGACACTTCGTAGTGTAATCAATTGTTGCACCGAACATGAGCATCTACCTTATGTTGAAGAAGAGTTGCTGTTGTAACCGTATAGAAATGCTATGGAAATGGTGCATGATCAATAGAGATACAATTGTACTTGTTAAACGCATCAAAATGTGTAACAAAATGAGCTCCATAGTTCACAGTAAAAGGATGTTACCTTAAAATATAAAATCGGGACTTTGTGTTAAGTAATCATTACAAATATTAAACTCCGTTCAGTTTTTTTATCTATTATATTTGATTACATCAAAATGTGTTCAAAAGTAACTTTTTTAATTTTATCTTCTCTTTTTTATCCAAAATCAAAGTATTAATCAAATTATAAATGTTTGGATTCCGACGATGTTTTTGATTAAATGTTTCAGTTATCAGGTGTGTATTTTTTTTCATTTATTTATTTGTTCATGATCAAAGTATATTTACAATTTTGCTGCAATTGTATTGTTGCATGGTATTTATAGTAGACAAATTACATGAACTTAAAATATAAACAGTGAGTGAGTTTCTATTACTAGGAGAGCAGATAACCCGTGCATGTTCGGTGAAAGAATAGTGATGCTGTATCCGACTGCATGATCACAAGAGGCGACTAATATTGGACCCCCTTTAGAATCGTGGGTTTTCTTCTCCTGTGTCCTAGAACGAATGTGATATGGGAGAGACAAAACTGATCTGCTACCCCTATTGCAACACTTGTTTTTTCCCTTTCTTTCTTGTCTTCTATCTTTTCGATCTACTTTATGTTTCAGGTGGTTTCTTCATAGGAACCCGTCTTCATGTGACCCTGGCTGTTGCGAGGACGATACACCACAAACAAACCAATAAAGGGAGAGCAGATGCTCCATATACATTGTATATTACAACAAAAATTAAAAGAAGTTGGTTCGAATAATGTTTAACGGGTTAGCCCAAGCTCTTTAAAACAGGAAACCAGTTATAAAAACTATGGATTGGTATAAAGAAATGACTTGTGTAGCCTGTTGGCTGTTTTAAAGGACACCTTCTGTAGTATACGGTAACTTTTACTTCGTCGACTGTGTCAGTGGTACCAACCAGATCACCACGGCCATTTTCTTTTTTAAAAATGAGTTGCATATATTTCGACAGTAGAATTGCTCTATCACATTGTTTCAAATTGAGTCATTTACATTAATGCAAGCATTGGATGTGGACCATTTAGTTATATTACAAAAAACACTAAGTAATTTCTTTATTGATATATTATTATTGCAGGTCTCTGCGACTGATCAAAGGAACAATACAATCTTCGTTTTCGTTGTTAAGTTTCACAACCCTTTCGCCACAACCACCTTTTCCTGGAATTACTTTGCAATCATCGGGTACGTTTACAGCGGTCAAACCAATGCTGGAGAGCAATAAATACAGAATAAGAAAAGAGCATTAAATCAAAATTATTCAAACTGAAACTTTGGCATTTAAACTGGCTAATAATAGTATTAAGATAATAAAAGGTATACTAGAAAGTGAACCGATATACCATTAATGACTAT